AAGGCTTTGGCGAAATTCGAAGGAGCAACTAATATTCTTCAACCTGGTATTTTTTTTAGATTTTATTTTTTATTTTTTTCGTCTGTTTTTTCGAGTTTAAAAAATGTGAGCTGGCTGGAGCCTTCATCCCTTGTCTATTTCTTACACTAGATACCAGCCGATACCCCCACCTCCCGCTCATAGAGACTGCGTACTACAGTTGATAGTTGATTATAGTTCCTGGGCTCCCTGTGCAGGAATGACTCTTCTGTGTGATTTTTTGGGCTGAGCCGATTTGGTTCAAACTTGGCAGACAAGTCACACCTTCACTCTAGTTAGGTTGTTAAATCTGAAAACAAATTCTGGCCCACCGTTTACATGGCAACAGCCAAACAACTTGTGGCTGCCGTTGCCCGAGCAACCTAAACTTTGCTGCGTTCCCGCGCTTTGTTCAGCCTCGTTCATTTGTCGCCGTGCTATGTACACGTGAAAGACGTCTTCTTCCGAATTGTACTACAGGTTATACTAAAAGGTACTGTAGTTTTGTTGTTTAGACTTGTTCCTGATTCTTTTGGTACTTCCATTCGTTTATTTATCTCACGGCAGTTTTTGGTGTTGTGCGCGCTCTGTACGAGGATCGAGGCAGTCGCCATGTTTCGCTTTCACTGGAAGCTAGTTTCACTGCATATAGTTTTCGTATTTTGCTGCCCAAGTATCGTTTATGCTGCCAACGAGGTAGGTAACGTTTGAGGAGTTACTAGAGAATTATTTGAGAAGACATTTGTTATGTTTAGACTAGTTTCGGAAGCCTTATCGATTTAGTTGATTTATCGTTGGCGTAGTACAGGTCGAGTGTCCGTCAGTCGTGTAGTTGAGTTGACACTCGTGTAGTTGAGTTGACACTCATCTGAAATTCTCAGTCGTTTTCTATACGATTATGCAAGTCACATTCCATGTACAGTTGGTAATTTATTTGTTTCAGTTCAGATTCATGTACAATTTTACCTACTATTATATTTTGTATATACTACATGTAGTACGATAGATTCGTTTAGTCTCGCCACTAGATGGCGCACTAATGCTGTAATGTCATTGCCTATCTATTTGCATAGTAGCGCTGGTGATACTCAAAATCACAAAACGGTTGGAAATAATAAATTTAACAGAAATACGCCCTAGCAATAAAAAAAGGTAACTTTAAAGACTGAATGTTTTTTTTTGCGAACTTCATATACGTGATTCGGTTTTAGTTATAAACCGACGTTATCTTCACGTTCATGTCCTACCACGACAACAGCCGAAACATGCTGCTTGCTTTTTGAGCGGAGCGGATCGCCAACCAGCCTACCGGCATGTTATAGTGTATATTATTTCTACAAATCACATATTTTGTCAACAATATATCGGAATAAATTATTGAACATTTCCGGGAATAGATATTAAAAAAGAAATTTGTAAAACAAACTTCCCGCAAATGGCTCAATGCTAAAAATTCCCGCCACATTTAAATTACGGGCGGTACAGAGTAAAATAGCAAATAGCCCCCTCACAGGTTCAATTAAATTTACACTTGTTTAGAGTCTTTGATGTCATTTTTGTTTTCCCAATTCCAGTACAGCGTAGAAATACTAGTAGTAGGTTCAGACTTTATTTTTGTGTTTATTTAATTATTGCAATGCCTTATTAATTCGTTAATTTACTGGTTATTTCTTGATAATTATGTAGTATAGTGTTTATTTCGTTATTTATTACTTATTATTATTATTATGTATTAGTTTATTTATTGTATTATAATTATTTAGTATTTACCTACTCATATTATCACAAGAGATTTTAATTTATTTAGTCATTTATTATTTACATCTTTTCATTGTGTCGTTTAGGGGGACCGCTTAGCACGACTCTACTTGGCGGATGAGAACAACGCTCAAACCGCCCAAAGTATTCTTTCGGAATGGCTGGTCGCTCACCCTTTTTGATTTTGTGGCTAGTTTGGTTTGTTTGGGCCATGTTTGGTTCATTTTAGTGTTCTTTGACTTGTTTAAGGGTAGTTTGGCTCGTTTTGGGTCGTTCCATGTTATACCAATTGCCAATGAAACGTCCCAAAATGAAAATAGGATTTGGTTTTCGTTGTTCACTTCAAAATCCTATTGTTGAAAACATAAAGGGTGGTGGTCGTCAGGCAGAGCGTGCTCGAATTTCATCTAAACAATGTATTTTACACGCGAAATATACGTCGCTATGAGTCCCAAATCTATCAAAAAACGTAGTTAATAATTCCATGAAATATTCGAACGTAAGCTATTATATGTTCAAAATCATATTTGAATCCAAGAACGTAATATCAAAGATTCGACACAGTTATTAATTTTAGAATTTGTCCTTGGTTGGAGGAATTATAACATTTATTGACGGCATAGGCTGCACCATTTGAGAAGACTACACTACAACACCACCATGCCTGCCGCTGAATATGCGTCATTAATTTGACACCACCTGCTCAAACCAAACTAGACTGCACGCATACCTGTGAACATCTGGGAGTAGTTGAGGTGCATGCTAGAAATGTAAAAACATTGGGAATATTGACATTTTAATTTTGTTGGCGCGCACGCGCGCGCGCGCGCGCGGGGGGGGGGGTCCTCGCGTACGTATACAGGAGCTGGTAATATTATATCGGAGATCATAGTACAGTCTCTACAGATCGACTGTGACTCATCAATGTTACGTGTGCGTCAGTAACCACTGTTGTTTTATGACCAATATTGTACTATTGAAAGATCTAATGTCTAGTACGTTGGATCAACTATCATCCCTGATATTTACTGGGGTCACTTTGATAAAACATGCTGTATCACAACACATAATAACTTGCATGTCTTCTAAACATGTAGCAGGGTGTAACAGGATGTTCAGCGGACATACTTGACATATTTAGCGACCGCCATTATGAAATCTCCATATTGCACGTCTTCACGTGGGAATGGAAAATTGTTCATGCAGGTGGCGAATCATTGTCTTCATATTCAAATCATTGTTTTGGTAGATCTGATCAAAATCTTGGACCATGGGACTAAAATTAACTTTTTAACCCTACCATATTTACACCCATCAAATATTGATAACTTCATCTATTTCATATTTGACATAATTATCTCATCATTTAAATCACCTCTAATGAAAGTTCAACATGTTCTCTACCATTGTACAAGGCTTCATACAGAGAGAAATATAACGGCAGTCAAAGGCATTAACTGAAACAGCTAAAGCAAATAGTATGGGAACAAGTATGAGCAGCACTCAGGATAACAAACAAAGCCACCTACTCAGAGCTACAGAAAGAGAGTCATTGAATTGTCAACTGATTCAGCTGTTCTCGTTATTCAAATTTGGATTGCCTCCACGTTATATTTGTACTGCATACAGTAGAATGTTCAAGACTGGTTTAAACCTGAAGAGGTATGGCTTGGGCAACCAAGAGACATTCGCAAATAACCTAGATGACACCATCTTTGAAAAAACTAGATATCGTAAAACCAGTAAAGTAATTTGGGTGAAATTGAAGGACACTTATCGTTTGAGTAGAATTCCTGGTGAAAATGATAAAGATATTGAAAACCTCAGAGAAGAACTGATTATACTATTTCGGCGTCATCCAAAAGGTATTACATGGAACAAAATTGACAAGTTATACACTAAGGTTTTTCAGAATCAAGAAAACGTGCTTGAGCTGCAAAGGAATGCCACAACTGGTGTGATTACGCAGGAACAGCTCCTATTTTGCAGACAGAGTAATAATGAATTCGATGTATCCGGAGAGTTTGCCGTAACACGTTGTTGGACTAACATTCAGAAAGGGTATGCTATGCAGCATAAAAGACAGACCATTAAAGATCAATCTAGAACAACAGGACAAAGCTCGAATACAGGCAAAGCCACTAAATCGAGAACAAATTGTGCTGAAAAACCACCTGACAAATATAATGGAATAACATCAAAAAGAAAGAACAAAGAAGAAAAGATGTCAAGAAATAGGCAGGTAGGAAAGAAATCGCTAATATTTTGTATAAGAACTCAACTATAACATAGTGCTGTGTAATGTACACTGATAGTTATGTAACTACTATAATTGTGTGGTAGCAATGGCGGATTAATACTGACCATCTTTTTTCCAACTATTTATTCCTGCTAAAAAAACTAACAACAAGATCATTTTCTAGCTAGTTGTTTCCTATTTATAGTGTATGTTGTTTGACAGTCATTCACAGGAAATGTTATGCCATTGGTTCTTAGGTTGTTGATATTTTTTTCTTCTCTACATAGATTCGTGTTTGTCAATCGAGTTTAATTCAATTTAAAATCAAGATCAATTTCTAACTAGTTGTTTCCTATTTATAGTGTATGTTGTTTGATGATCATCAGGAAATTTTATGTCGTTCTTAAGTTGTTGATATTTTTTTCTCTACATAGATTCGTGTTTGTCAACC